GACTCGGACACCAGCCTCTCATGACGGGTCTTGACCTTCTTCACCAAGCACGGCCTTGGAGGAATTGGCACTGCTGAAGGAGCTGGAGCCCCACCCCCTCCCCAGAGCCAAAGCTGGACTAGAAGGAGCTCAGGCGGTAGCCGAGGCCAGGGCCCCTGAGGCCCCTGTAGGCAAGCTCGGCCCACCTGAGTAGCTGCTGGTGGGCTTGGTATGATCATTCACCTTCTGCATCCCACACTCCAGCCGGCTCTCGCCGTCCTCCAGCAGCGTGGGCGGGTGGCGATCTCGCTGAGCAGGGCCAGCCTGACGCCCCTGAGCCCTCTGTACTCGGGCAGCTGCTGCACCAGGTCCTGCTCAGCTCGCTGCGGGGCGTTGGCGTCTTTAATGGTCCCCTTCCCCGCGCCGCTCAGCATCAGCTCTGGTGGCCTCCAGGGAAGCCCTCTGGCCTTGGAGGCCCTTGATCTCAGGCTGGAGTCGGCTGATACTGCGGTTCATCTCGGAAATCTCCGTCTTCGCGCTTTGGGGGCCATCGGTGTGATTCCCAGCCAGTTGTCTGCAGCCCCTTGTACTGGATGAGGGTACACGTTCTCAGTCTCTGCCTGGCTGTGGCGCTGCAGCTGCCGCTGGCGATCCCCTGGTGCTGGGCCTTGACCTTGGCGGTGATGCCGTCTGGTGCAGGGGGCTCCTGTCGTCCACCGAGGGAACCGCAGAGGTGTCGGAGATCAGCGGCCCGAGGAAGCCCATCTCTCAGGCCAAACCCTCCAGGCGGGACTCCAGCTCTGCCTTATTCATGTAATCTTCATCCAGAGCCTTCCTGCTGAGAACAGATGCATTCTCCATCTCTGCACGCTCTCTGCTCTCTTCCGCCTGCTTCTTCTTGTAGTCCTCCGCCAGCCCCTGCATGCCACCACGCTCCACCTCTGGTTCAGCTTCTCCCGGGCTACTGTGTCCAGCAGCGGCCCAAGGTTGCTGATGAAGCTCTCCGCGTGTTGTCCGTGTCGCTCTGAACCATTTCCTGCTGCTGCAGGACGCTCCACTTGGTCTCCCGAGTCTTGTTCTCCTGCTCCATCTTCTACACCTTGTCCATAAAGGAGGCAAACCTGTTGGGGAGGGTTTCGATCTCCTTCTTCTGAGTGCCCACGGCCTGGATGTTGGGGTCCACCTCCAGCTTAAGAGGGCTCAGCAGGCTCTCATTTGGGGACAGCTGTGGTGCCCTCCAGAGCCCCGCTGTAGCCTCCAACCACACCCGGAACCTGCTGCCCAGCCAGGAGAAGAGCCAGGAAGCTGCTTCTACGTGGGAGACCCCAACAGCAGATTTTATTTTATTTATTTTTTATTTGACAGAGAGAGAGACACACACACACGAGAGAGGGAACACAAGCAGGGGGAGTGGGAGAGGGAGAAGCAGGCTTCCCGCAGAGCAGGGAGCCCGATGCGGGGCTCGATCCCAATACCCTGGGACCATGACTCGAGCCAAGGGCAGACGCTTAACAACTGAGCCACCCAGGCGCCCCAACAGCAGATTTTATTAGCAGGAAGGATGGCGGGAGCTCAAATCTGTAGGGCCTCTGAAGGGGCAGGGTGGGCAGATGAAGTTAGACAAACGCTGTCGAGTTCATAGTCGGGGCAGCAGTGTTCTGATGGGAGAGCACACCTAGGGATTCAGCAGTACACCTTGGGTAAATTGTGTTCCTAAAAAATTCTTTCGAGGATCCAAAGAATGTTTGGGAAGTGAATTTCCTGTGGAATCCTATATGTAATTCATGAAGTGATGAGTTTCGTTTGAAGGTTTGTATTGTGCCTATGAGTATGCTGTGAAAAGCCGAAAACATACAAGGTAGGTATTATGAAGCAAGATGAAATTGGCAACAAGAAACTGTCTCCACCTACTTTTTTCTTTTTTTAAATATTCCTAGTCACCTAACTTGCTAAATGCTAAATTTAAAAAAAGCCTCAAAAAAAAAAAAATTAAATAAGTCTCCAGATTGCAGGAGAACTCTTTTCATTGCTGCTCTAAGCTCATGCTTCTAATTTCATGGCAGTAACACTGTACATACTAAGCATTAAGAAGTTATAAAATATCAAAACCCCACATTAGGAAATACGAATGTTATTTTGTTGTTTAAAGACTTTATTTTTAAGTAATCTCTACATCCAACACAGGGCTTGAACTCATAACCCTGAGATCAGGAGTCGCATGCTCTTCCAACTGAGCCAGCCAGGAGCCCCACTGTTTATCTTATTTTCAGAACACTGAAAATAAAAAGAGAACACTCAAATCATTTTTCTTTCTTTAACTGTAACTTTATTTGGAGCAGAATTTTCCTTACATAAAGTTAACGTTTTTAAACACCTTAGGACAAACTATTCAAAACGCAGTATTTTATTTCAGAAGGGGCTTGTGTCAGTGGTTTTCTGTCCTCCTCTATTCTCATTATTATGAATATTTGCTTTTTAAATAAATATATTCTCAGCTATTTCCTTGGATTCAAATCCGGTGACTAAACTGCTATCAGTACTAAGACATCTGAGATCAGAAGACTGTTTGGGTCATTTCAAATTCACATTAGCACAGTGTCTCTAAGAAACTGATAATACAGATTGATGTGATGCTTGCCTCCAGTTTGTCTTAATAGTTTCCATGAGGGGTCCTCACAATAAGTTATATAAAATACAGTACTTTGGTTGGAAATTGTAAAAATAATTCTAAAAATTAAGCACATATATTAAACAAACGAGTTGCTACAGTATGCTTTAAATGACATAAAATAATTAGCATGTCAAACATTTTCTTATAAACATATTGCTTTTGGTCATACACTGAGCTGGAACATACAGCCTGTGTTCCTTTTCTCCTAAATGGCACAAAACGATGGCTCGATGGTAGGGAAACACTAGTTCATGAGAAAAGATGGTGCCCATGAGCCCCAGTAGTTACCGGTATTTGTACTTAGGCGTTACCTTGATTGTATTCAATTTTTGATAACGTCAGAAGATGACACAATGTCAATTAGTTATAAGTATACAATCCTTTAGGCTATCTATAAGAGAGGTGTCTAAAAAAAAACTGTTTGAAAATCAATTTTCTTCCTACTTAAACCCTATCATACATGAGCTGGGTGAGTGCTTAGTAATTAATGGAATTTTATTGTAAGATGAACAATCACACCAAGAGTAGCTTTTATGCCCATGCAGCTTGCCTTGCAGTTCACACATGTACCACCTGGCACACCATTATCACAGGACCTTTGGGTGTGCAATGAGAGCCATCCCTGTACCATTTCCTGACATCCCGAAAAGCTTTCTGACCGGAAATGAGGTATAGTCATGGAAAAGGTACAGTGAAACTCTTTCATTCCTCTTGGTGTCTTATGGTACATCGTGTAATTCTCTACTAACTAAAAGATATACACACTTGGTAGCATTTGATTTTCACTTAACAAAAAATGGTCACGATTCCCTTCTATAGGAAACAGCATGTATACACATTTGTCCCTTACCCATTATGGGGGGAAAAAAAAAGAACTTTCTAGGATTTTGCTGGTTCTTTAGAATTTACATTGTTTTTTCAGTCTTCTGGTTTTCTCAACTGCACATCAGCTTCTCGACTTTCACATGGATAAACATGTTTGGCTTTCTAAGGGAAGTTGTTTACTCATAAATAAAGGAAAAGGTAAGAGGACGAAAACGGAAATATTTTCTGAATTTGGGCCCATAAAAGTATTACAAAAACAATTTTAAAATGTGTAATAATCAGGTGACTAGGTTTTTTCAATTTAAAAAATGTCATGACCTTAACATAAGCTAGAGTGCCAAGAATATGGTATTCACAATCCATTCGCTTCTCTAAGAGGTATTTACAATTTAAAACCAGCTTTCCAGCAAGCTGGGTAAGGTTACAGATTAACTTACTTTTTATATATAATACAGAAAGGGAAAATAAATATTAATTGCAGTAAAGGACTCATCTCTGAAAACACATTTTCTTTTGCTTTAGATAATGAGTTGAGAATATAATACAGAAGTGAACTCAGCTTCAAGTTGTGCTTACATATACATATTTGTTTTCTGAAGCTTTGCTGCCAGTTTGTTAACAGAAAATATTACCTATCAAATCCACATCCATTATGTGCTTTTCTCATGCCCCTAGGGATCATAGTGCTTGGTCAAGTACATTGTTGTGCCAGATTCTCCAAAGCAGAAATTACTCCCTGATTTAGATTAGGGCCCTTTGGGAGCCATGGCAATTTGTTCAGGCTGCAACATACTACTAATACATCAAAGCAATAATTTACCCACATACTGGGTTGAATCATATCAAAGTGCCAATATTCACTTTATCATTTTAACCTACAGAAATGACAGACAATTTCATATGGCTCAGCCTGCTAGATCCTGGAACCTGGAACCAAATGAGAGTAGCTTGGGGCCTGGGAGAATGTGAGTCAACACGCTACTGAGTTTGTATCGTGTTCCCTGGCAGAGACCTTCCCTCCTGCCTTTCAGGGAACCACTGCTGGAGGCAGATATACCCTACAGAGATGGACGAAGAGCGGACCTTTTGTCTTTTTCTGTCTCCAAACTAGCTTTGTCATTTTCAAAATTGCTGTAAACATTCCTCTCAATGGAAAAGCCTCTGTCCAACACATAGAGTTCCCACTGTGTGAAGAAACTACACAAGGGTTAAGAGTTCAAATGTGGCATGCTACCTACATGACCCTCGTGGTAGCTGGGACTTCCCAGGTCAGTGGAACCTCTCCCATAAATCTTTCCTGCTCCCCAAAGTGCCCTGAGAATGTGGCTAGGACAGAAGATTCTTCATCGTCTGTTCCTTGCCAGGCCTGGAGAACTGAGCTGAATGCAAAAGTTGATCAGTTATTATAATAAAAAAAATCTTCTGCTGCTTTGAAACTTAGCTTTTTGGTCGTGCATCTTGATAGGGATACAAGTCTAACGGACTGTGTTCACCTTTATGTAAAGATCTATTGACTTCAAAAGCTTCCCTTTTGGGGGTACTTATACAACTGGATTTCAAAAATGGAAGAAACATAAAAAAAAGGGAGAAAATAGAACGTGATGGTCCAGCATAATAAAACCTGGTTCATATCTCCAACCACCTTGCATATCTCCAACCACCAAAAAGGGCTGTTGTAAAAATTCCAAAAACTATTTAGAGTTCTTTCAGCTGGGAAATTCATTGCATAATAGTATTTTTAGAACAGCACAGTGGTGTCACAAAATCAAACCAATAACCTGATATTGAGAAAAGCAGATCATTTATCTCGCGCTGAGGTTGGTCTAAGAAAGCCTGAAGTACCAGTGTGCCACATTTAAAATTTAACCGCTTCACAAATATCTGCCCGCGTTGAGTAAATAACCCTCTATCGGGTGGCCTTCAATTGCACCTCTGCTGCAATACTGCATCAATATTATTACATTTTTAAAAATCTGTATAAAATATTATCTGGAACCCCAAAGGAAAATCAATTAATTTTTAAAAAGTTCATTACAAAGTTGACTGTATAAAATGCTAAAACATAATCCATATATACAAAATGCGCTGTTTAAGAAAATAATGGGACCCAGTTTTAGAATAAAATAATTTTGTACAAAAAAAGGGTATTGCATTCAAATCAATATTTAAAAAAAATCTTAAAAAGAATATTGAAATGTCTTAGTTCAGAAGAATAACTATAAAGTGTTTGCTTTCATACTGTCTGCCGGTTTCTCGCCGGCAGAACACCAGCTGGCCGAGGGACCGTGTCTTGCTTTCCCCTGAGCCCAGAAGCTTCATGCTGGTCATCGCCGAGACGCGTACTTAGAAACCCAGTCGGTCCGGCCGTGCACTGGCTGGGCAGCCGGAGGTCGGGGCATCAGCCCGGGAGTGCTTCTAGGCTGGGTGTGGAAGAAAGGTCGCCCGGGATGAGGTCTCACAGCCTTCAGGGAAGAATAGCCTGCAGTTAAAGAGGAAGGTGGGTCGGATTGATATGGGACTCCCGCAAACAAAGCAAATAAATGCAGCTTGGCGACAAAAATATCAGAAAATGGGAGCTCAAGAGAAGCACTGGTGGGCGACTCATAGTCTTCCCTCTCTCGCTGAAGGACAACTCCATTCTAGTGTTGTCCGGCCGCTGATACTGGTGTCATTCCTGACCCCCACAGCCCACGTGTCATGGGTCAGCAAATGCCACTGGCTCTCCCTTCCAGATACACTCAGAATCTGGCCCAGCTCAGCCCTCAGCAGCCTGGCCCATCACTCCCTGCCTGGATAATTCCAGCAGCCAGTTAGTTTTCCTGCTTCCAGCCTTGTTCCCGGCCCCCAGGCTAATGACAACCTGCACGTGAGTGAGGCTGCAAGATGCAAGTCAGAGGGCCTCACGCCTCTTCTCCAGACCTTCCTCTGGCTCCCACGTCCCACGCAGTCAGTGACAGCACGCTTACGGTGGCCTGCAGGGCCTCATACCACCCCACCTTTGGTTACCCCTCTCTCCTGCCTCCAGGGCCATGCACTAGGAACCCCGTGCTGGGGACAGTCTCACCCACACTGCGCGGCTACCCACTCACCTCCTTCACACCTTCACTCAACAGTTCCTTTGCGGTGTGGTCTTCTTTGGCCACGCTCTTTATTTATTTTTAATTATTATTATTATTTTTAACATATAATGTATTATTTGTTTCAGGGGTACCGGTCTGCGATTCAACAGTCTTACACAATTCACAGCGCTCACCACAGCACATACCCTCCCCAATGTCCATCACCCAGCCACCCATCCCTCCCACCCCCCACCACTCCAGCAACCCTCCGTTTGTTTCCTGAGATGAAGAGTCCTTACGTTTTGGCTACCCTCTTTAAAAATGCACAATCCAACTTCCATCTTCCCTATATACCGCCTACTTCATTTTTCTCCTCAGCACTGGTGAGCATCTGCTTCAGTTTACTTATTGTGTGTGGGGTGTAAGTTCGTGGGACAGGGAGCCTTGTCGGTCTCCATCGCTGGTGGGTCCTTGGCCTACAACATGCCTGGCACAAAGCCATTATTTGAGAACCATTTGATGAGCTGCTTCATGAATAGCCCAAAACAGAACTCACCAGGAGAAGGGTCTGGAATAGGTGCCAAGTGTACCCTCTGCATAGCAGAACCAACTTCTTTTTTCAGAAAGGACGGGATATAGTTTCCAGTCAGTCCACTAGAACTTGTAGAACTGGAACCAACTGATTCACAAAAGCAAAAGCTCGTTACTACAAAGACCCCACGTGCACATAACACCAACAGGGTTACACGGGTGTGAAACGATAAAGAATTGGGCATTTACTTTTAGGGGGAAATACGATAAAAACAGTGAACTGCGAGCAGAGCATTCCTCCACACCACACCGTTGGAAAGATGGGGAAGAGGGGCAGCAGAGACAGGGCCACTCCTATAGACTGCGCCTGAACGGAGCCTGGACGCTTGGTTTGCTCAAGAAAAGGGAAATGTGCGGGGCGCCTGGGTGGCTCAGTTGTTAGGCGCCTGCCTTCGACTCAGGTCACGATCCCAGGGTCCTGGGATCGAGCCCTGCATCGGGATCCCTGCTCCACGGGAAGCCTGCTTCTCCCTCTCCCACTCCCCCTGCTTGTGCTCCCTCTCTCGCTGTGTCTCTCTCTGTCAAATAAATAAATAAATCTTTAAAAGAAAAGAAAAGAAAAGGGACATGTGCCGTTTTCTTTCTTTTTTGGAATAATGGGTTTAGCCTGTTCCAAAATTTGCTTTTTCCACACTGTAACAGAGAATAGCTATCCTTCCATGTCAGTATATACAAATTCTAGAATCTGGCTAAACCATAATTCACCGAACCATTCTCTTACTGAGCAGCCCACAGGTGATCTTAATTATTTAGCTATGTGGGCACTTGGGTGGCTCAGTTGGTTAAGCGGCTGCCTTCGGCTCAGGTCATGATCCCAGGGTCCTGGGATCGAGTCCCGCATCAGGCTCCCTGCTCGGTGGGAAGCCTGCTTCTCCCTCTCCCGCTCCCCCTGCTCGTGTTCCCTCTCTTGCTGTGTCTCTCTCTGTCAAATAAATAAATAAAATCTTTAAAAAAATTATACTCTGGCCCGTAATCAGAAAAAGTAATGATTTATGTTAAATATATTCATTTTTTATGACATTTTCATAGTGATAGTGTTTTAAGGGCTGGAACTGTATGCGACTCATCTTAGTATTCCAGGAGGTTAATGGGATGCCTTACATGTAGCAGTAATCAATACATATTGGATGGATGAATAGAGATCGATAAGCCTCAGTAAGACTTAAGGTACACACGGAATGATGAAAAATGTTATTACAGGCCATTATACAAATGGAAGTTATATCCGGGGGGAAAAGAGAGAATGTGTGGCAGAGTGGCAATGCCTGGGTAAGGAGCTGTGTTGTGCTAGAGCACATTCTGCATTTTTGGTGAAGAGATTAAAAAAAAAAACAAAAACGGGAAGAGAATTTGAACAGGTTAAGTCACAAAAGGGAAAAAAACGTATAGTCCATGAACACAAGAGAAGATGCTCCCCCTCATTAGTACACAGGACATGCAAGTTGAAGCCACAACAAGATGCCATCTCACACCCATCAGACCAGCACACAGTTTGCAATCTTGACAGTACCAAGTGGCATCAAGGATGCAGCATCACTCCCAGACCCTGCTGGAGAGCAATTTGGCAACATCTGCAAAGTCAGAGATGAGCACACCCTTTAGCCTGTTTACATTATCCCCAGAGAAACCTTCACACAGGTGCGCGGCAAGAGGGTACACCGTGGGTCCTTTCCGCACTCCTTCTCACAGCAAAGATGGTTCCCAACTTACACGCTCATCAAGAAGAGAAGGATAAATACATTACGGTCCACTAAAGGTAATAAATTATGGGGTGATACAGTGATATATGTTATATACGTTTTATAATATATACTATGATTATGTCTTACATGTATGTGTAGTTGCCTTATCATAATATAATTGTTAAAATGAGTGGAGATCCAGAATTATGTTCGTATTAATTTTGGAACATGTAAGAACATAGTTTGTGGTTCATGAATCTTTTAAAAATGCATAGACATAATAAGCATCCAAATCAGGTGGGGGTCGGAGGAAGGAGGGGGGAAAGAAGGAGAGGGTGGGAGGGCCTAGACAGTGGGCTTCATGAGTATTTGCAAAGTTTGACTCCTTGAGCTGCTCGTAGTGGGTACATGCGTGTTGATACCTCATTTCCTTCTTTTCTGTATTTCTCAAAATAAATGAACGTGCAATGGATAAAGCAGGGAGAAGGGACGCCCGGATGTTTTTCCCTGGCAGTGTGGAAGGGGAAGCAATGCATGGCAGGGGCTGCCTGTGTGAGGGAAAATGAGGCGGGAAAGGGGCCCGCTGGGAATGGCGTTAGGCCGCCGGGATGGGGTTAGCCCCCCGGGGATGGGGTTAGCCCGCCGGGGAATGAGGTTAGCCCGCCGGGAATGGCGTTAGCCTGCCGGGAAGGCTTATGAAACTCACTTCTCATTTTAAAAAAAAGGTGGGGATGAGGGCGCCTGGGTGGCTCAGTTGGTTAAGCGACTGCCTTCGGCTCAGGTCATGATCCTGGAGTCCCGGGATCGAGTCCCGCATCGGGCTCCCTGCTTGGCAGGGAGTCTGCTTCTCCCTCTGACCCTCTTCCCTCTCGTGCTCTCTCTCTCTCATTCTCTCTCTCTCAAATAAATAAATAAAATCTTTAAAAATAAATAAATAAAAATTAAAAAAAAGGTGGGGATGAGAAAAAAAAAATGGGGATGGCCCTCTGAGCTGTCCACCTTCCAACCAGAAGAGGTTTTTTGATGCTCTGGGCTAAGGCTGGGTCATCAGAGGGAGGGGACGACGAGCTGGAGCAAGGCGGATGGAGCTAAGTTAGACAGCCTGCAGCATGGGGCCTCGGAAGCCAGAGGTGCCTGACTCCCCAGCTACGCTGAGGGCAGACCCCGGGGCAGCTGGCTGGGTCCCCAGAGCCTGCTGCCAAGAAAGAGACAGGAGCGTGGCCTGAAAAAGGGGCCTTGGGTTTCCACCCCAGAAAACCCTCTCATTTCCATTAGCTTGTCTCTCCGGACTCACCCTGCCGCATCCAGAGAATCTGCCTCTTGTCATTTAGGAGTTAATAATCACTACTCACCGGAATTTATTTTGCTGATTACTGATACTGTTCCTGAAGATTTTCCAGACAAACCAGAACTAGACCACGGATTAGATGGAATAAAATCCTTGCCTGGATTTGGAAGTATGCCGTTTCTCATATTTATTCCTAATGGGGAAGAAATGATTTTCAAATGCAAAATACATTATTTTGTCTTGCACCAGATTTCAGTGGCAAACTCATCCCAGAATTCACTCTGTCTAAACTTCCTACGGTTCAGTCGTCAGAGCAAAAACTGACCGTGAGGTTGTCCGATAGAAAGCAGAGGAAAGGAGGAAAGATGGCGACCTGGGGTTTAGCACGCCCAGAGGGTGGGCAGCCCGAGAGAGTTCTCCTAAACTTCTCCCTGCAGATCTGTCTCACGTCTCCTCTCTTGGCCCCTCTGGTGCTATCCTGGGCGTCAGTGCTCCTGGCCATTCCCACAGGTACCCCTGCACGGGCCACTGCCTGTCTGTCACCTGTCACTGCCTGTCAAGTTCCTCTTTGCCCCCCTTCCGCCCGGCCAGCTCTGCAGCCCCCTGCTCTCCTCTCTCTGCATTCTGTCCCCCAAGACCCCTCTTCATACCTGACCTGGACCATGAGCACCATCAAGTGCTGGTGACCCTCATGGACTCCCTCACTCCCTCACGGCTGCCTTGACCTTAATCAATCATCTCAACCTCAAGCCAAACCACCCACTAGACCGCCCACTTTCCCATTTATGTCAAGCACTGCAGCTATTTTTCAGAACTGAAAAGACTGAATTCATCTTTTATCCTCCTTCCTCTCCTAGAGCCAAAAAGAAATAACCAATTCCCTCCCAGCTGGCTCCCTTTGGCCTGTGGCCCCTGGAGCTGGGGTCTCTGCCCCGACACCTGGACCACTGCTGTACCCTGTCACCTGCTCTCTCCTCTCCCAGGTCGTCCTGGGAGGCCAGCCAAGGGCGAGGAGTCAATCCACCAGTGGGGCCTTATTCCCACCTCACGTCCCCTGGGCCCCACAGCCCCAGCCTGAGCCACCACTCCCCTTACCTGCACAAGAGCTACAGCCTGCCCTCATCCACTCAGCACGAAGATGGGCATGAACCCAGCATGCTCTCCAATTAAAACCCTTCAACAGCTTCCTGCTGCTTGTGAAATAAATCCCAAATGTCTTACAAGACTCCCGAAGATGCCTCGTGCTACGTGTATCACCCTCCTACCACGCCCTCTGCCCTTCCCCTCACAAGCCAAGCCCCTTCCTGCGTCCCAGGACCCCCACTTGCTGCTTCCCCTGCCTGCTTTGTTCTGCTCATTTGTCCCTCCCCATTCTTTGGGGGCCCAGCCAGGAGTCACGTGCTCAGACAGGCCCTTCCTGAGCATTCTGTCTACAGTGGTGCCTCCCCCCTGCCCCCTATCACCACCAGAACTACTGGTTGTCTATTTGTTTAGGGTCTGGCTCCCACCACTAGAATATAAGCTGCACGGGGGCGAGAGTATTGTCTACAGGGCTGTGGTACAAAGTCACTGCATAGACGGTGGTCCCACTTGGCCACTGTGCTCACCCTAATTTCCGCAGTGCCTCGCACACATTCGATGCTCAGTACGTATGTACTGATTGAATGAATCTATGAATGAATGGTTGGCTGGTGCTGTAAGCTTGGAATCGGGAGAATCTGGAGAGAGGCTTTGCACCCATCAAACTAGAGCATGTACACTTATCCCCTGTAATACTGCCAGGTGGTGTGACTGAGCGCCTACCCTGATCTCCTGAGAGTACATAGGACTGGTCATTGTTCCTAACCCTGGTCTGATGCAGGGGCCTCAGGCGTGCCCCCTGGCTCTCACTACCAGTTCCTCCCTCCTGGGGGGCCAGACCCAGTTTCCACCACAACATTTTTTCTTACACAACTATATATATATATATATATAATGTGAGGCCTGGGCTTCAGCAAATATTTCTATAATCCTACCAGTTCTGAAGTTCTAGAAGGCCCTGGGCACTTGCCTTTCAAAACAGAATCTCTGTGAATACGTGATTCCGGGGAAATGGTTTCTGAGGATGAAAGTAAAGGCAAGCATTTCTATTACCAGGCAAGTATCGCGAGTGCTTCAGGTAGTGTTGCTTGGCCGCGGACCTCAGGGTTGGTGTGTCTCGCCTTTGATAGGAGGTCTGGGTGGGGGCGCTGTTGCCTGTACTGACGGGCTCAGAGGGCTTCAGGTCCAGAACACTCTCAAATCTGAAGCAAGGGAACATGGCTTAGATCAGCATGAGATGGAAAGCATCATGAGAGAGGTACAGATCATTTCACAAACCCCAGACTCGATCTGTGTACGGAGCCGAGGTGCACACTTGCCTGCAGAGAGTCTCCTCGCTCTGTCTCTTCTTGTTTTTCAGGTCAATCCTGGTGAGGGATGGACTGAAATCCAAGTCATCCAAGTCAGCCCAGTCATCGGAATCCTTTGTCGACCGGGACACAAGCCCCCACCTTCTCCGACTCTTGGGCTTGATCTCCCCATTTTTGTGTTCCAGGCCAGCTAGCATTTTCTGTGCATCCAAGGAGTGGGGGATAAAGTCATACTTGGTATTAATGGAGCTCACCCATGAGTAATCCGCATTCCAAATTTCCTCAGTGATGAAAAGGAGGATCCGGGGACATATCATTCTCAACACGCAACCATGGGAAGTATGTTCCTGGGCCTCTGTCTCTCACCTCTCCTGCACACATCACAGCCATTGGCATCCTATGGGGACACTCAGGTGTGCAAGATAAGGATTTTTAAAAAGAAAGTTTTTCAAAATAGATTTATTTTTGAGAGAGAGAGTGAGAGAGAGGGAAGGGACAGAGGGAGAGGGAGAGAGAGCATTAGCAGACTCCACGCTGAGCGCAGAGCCTGACGCAGCACTCAATCTCACGACCACAAGATCATGACCTGAGCCAAAATCAAGAGTCGGGTACTTAACCACCGACTGCATCACCCAGGTGCCCCTAAAAAGAAATTTAAGGTGCTTCTCACACATGGGGAGGATAGCTAGGTTGTCATCCGGGCCTCATCCCTGAAAGCATTAACATGCTTTATTCTGTCATAAACAGAGATGCAGGAGAATACAGCTCAGATGTCAGTCATCCTGCCATTTACTGAAAACACTGCAAATATGCTTTCTTTGCCTTCTTAGTAGATCTGGATACTATTTAATTACAGAATTAGCTACAATAGGAAATTTCCAAATACATATTGCTTCCAAAGTTGTGGGCTGGGGTACAGCGAAAAGTCTAAAGATACCACTCTGGTAACCTCATGCAGTATCTCAGTGTTGGTTGGGAGCTGGGACTCAGTGAATGAATACTAGTTGACAGAAAAAATACTGCCTTTGCATAAAGCTGTCAGAAAAATCAGACTCTCAGGCAGCATTACAAAGCTACTGGTAACTAGATGCCCTTTTCAGGTTATTATTGAATCTAACGCTCATTTTTTTTTTTTTTTTAAAGATTTTATTTATTTGAGAGAGAGAGAATGAGAGAGAGCATGAGAGGGAAGAGGGTCAGAGGGAGAAGCAGACCCCTCGCTGAGCAGGGAGCCCGATGTGGGACTCGATCCCGGGACTCCAGGATCATGACCTGAGCCGAAGGCAGTTGCTTAACCAACTGAGCCATCCAGGCGCCCTCTTTTTTTTTTTTTTTTTTTGAGCACCAGTCCAAGAGAAGGAGAAAGATCTGGGCTCAATTAACAGCCTAACATTAACAGCATTCATAGGAATAACAATCTATAAATTTTATTATGGCACTTTGTGATTTTTCAAAACATCTTCACAATTAGCGGGACCTTTTAATGTCATGCACAGCCTGGTCTGGCGGGCAAGACAGGCATTAGGATCTTTCTTTTACAGATGAGGAAACTGAGTCCACAGGGATTAATAATAACAACGACTAACATTTATCACGTTCTGATGAAGTGTCAGCTACTATTTTAAATTCTCTCAAGTATTAATTCATTTAGTCCCCCAAAGGCATTGTTATCAGGTAGATGCAATTATTATCCCTATCTCAGAGACGAGGAAGCGAGGAGCAGGGAGGTTGGGGACCTTGCCCAGGGGAATGGAGCCAGGAAGTGGCAGAGCTGAGACTGGAGAGCCTGGCCCTGTGAGCGCTCTGGGCAGCTCTCAACCACCACACCGCAGCTGCCTGCCACCAGGACCTCTATGAACAGACACACAGCCAGAATCTGAATTTAGACCTTCAACTCCAAGGCCAAAGCTCTTTTCACTACTCCACGATATTGCGAAGATACATTTATTGTAATTAACGGTCACTGTAATTAGACTTCACATCCTGCAAAAAGAAAATCTTTCACACAATCAGTGGGGTCAGAAGAGAAACAGGCCAGACAAGGCTCGCTAGCAAATCTTCCCTGCTTACCGGCGGAGGATTCTTGGTATGGAGGGATGGGAAGAGCAATGGGCTTGGCTTGTCCTCCAGGAGATGGTTCGGGTGATCTGTCCTGGAAGCCTCTGCTTTGAAGGGGTACATGAGATGCTGAGGGGGCTGGCTGGCTTGATGTTGTCTCGAAGAAATCCGCGGGTGTGGCTTGGTTGGGGGCTGGGTGGGGGGGACCGGCTTGATGTGAGGAGGTGGACCTGCCTTTTCCAGGACATCCTTCTGTGCTTGTCCTGAATCTTGAAGGCTCTGTGTGGTGCTGCCCAGTGGATGCCCAATCTGGAAGTAAGGATATCGAAGAGCCTGGAATAATACATAGGGCTGCTTTAGGAGAAAAGTCTATCCAGGAAGGTTAATACCATCAGGCTCACTGAGCTACATTTCATGGGACCAGTTCACTATAGCTTCTTAGCCTAAACCAACTAGAAAACAGCATTGAATGTATGATACTCTTTATGATCTTCCTTATCTAAAATGTAAAATGTATACACTTAAAATTATTTGGATAAAGCAGCCAGTTATACTACTATTACCTTTGCTACTTCTGAAAAGTATTTGGCTCAACAGATGTTGGCTTTTTTCTTTTTTTCTTTGAAACTTCCATTTAATGTAAGTAGACCTCATTAAAAGATTTAAAGGATATTTAAATAATTTCCATATGCATTGTATCATGGAGCCATAGAAATACTGGTCTGTGTTGGCAAATCCTAACTTTTGGTATGTAGTTTGTTTGTTTGTTTAAATTTAATTTATTAACATATAATGTATTATTGGTTTCAGAGGTACAGGTCTATATGATTCATCAGTCTTACATAATACCCAGTCAGATGCTGGCTTTGTAACTTACTTGCTATATATCTTTTTTTTTTTTTTAGAGAGGGAGAGAGAGGCCAGTGGGCAGAGGGAGAGGGAGAGAGAGAGAATCTCATGCAGACTCCCTGCTGAGTGTGAGCCAATGTGGGGCTTGAGCTCACAACCCTGAGATCACGACCTGAGCTGAAATCAAGAGCTGGACACTTAACTGACTGAGCCACCCAGGTGCCCCTGCTATGTGTCTTAAATGTAATATTTCACCTTTCTGAGCCAATTTCCTTAGCCCATAAAAAGAAAAAAAAATAATATAAAACTGAGAAAAAAAAAAGAAAAACAACTGAGGGCCAAACACAATAATCCTGGAAGAGTCTGAAGAATCAAGTGTAAAATGAGCCAGTATTTTACCCCAGGAATGCCAAGAATGTAATACGTGATAAAGTTAAACCCTGGCTATCAACAACAACTAACAAACTTTGGTAGTTGTTCTGAACAATCCAGTTTTCCAGATAGTCAGGGGATAAATCTTAAAGGGCTGGGTTCACAATTCTTTCTGAAATATTCCCTGTATTCCCTAGTCTTTTTGAATGGAAATCACCAAACAGAACATAACCTTTCTTAATAACTCTGGGTTATAAACATCTGTAATGATTATATGTAAGTGTAGACACAGAGGGCGATACCATGGAGACTCTGGTACTGGTTTTGGACCCTGGCATCTAACTTGAAAAGTCTCTGTAGTTCCAGGCATTTTTGCAAACTGATCTGGGGCTGTTTTTAGCTTTTCTGACGCTATTCTTAAAAGTACACATTGTTCTCTTGGTTCCTTGCTACAGATTTTTTTCTTTTCATCTCTTGGGTACAACCTTTAAAAAACTGGGTTCGTCAGAAAGTTTTTCTCCTACCTTCAGGATATTTGTGAATTTCATCCCCCAGAGTGCACTTCTGAGAGCTTTCCAACCCCGGCCACCCAGAGTCTCATGGTACCAAATTATGGCTCTTTCTTCTCTGAACCTTTGGAGCTGCTTTTCCATAATTCCTTAACCCCCAACTATCGTCTCTCTGGTTCTCGCAAATTCTAACATCACATCAGCCCTATCTTCAAACGTCCCCGTCACTTTTGTTTAGCCAAATCATTGTCTATGATTAGAACTGGTCACCTTTGTCATTCTGAGCCATGTAACCGCCAAGGGGGGCTGCAGAGAAGGATCCAGACACGCTAATGCAGAGGGAGGCTTGCAAGAGGCATGGGAGTGGCTGAGGCCATAGCTCTACCATGTCTCTTTGGGTGCATTTCATCATCCAGGTCAAAGTGACCTGGGGGAGGGCAAGTTGAGAAAACAGGAGGTATGAAGCATCGAACTGCCGTTGGTTGCACTATCTGTACTAGTTGTTGGATGAATGATTAGGGGAAATCGCTTCAGCTTTCCGAGATTCAGTTTTCTCACTTACAGAGTGAAAATAGTACCACTGATTTCACAGAATCTTCATAGGGTTCAAATCACATAAAAACATACTAAAGCATCTACAAACTATTAAGTGCTATAAAATATTAACAATACTTATCATCCTAGCTCTATCTCATCTGTTGCTCTCTGTGTCAGCTGTGAAACAAGGGAGTTGGATTTCACAAGATATTTTCAAATTCCCTTTTGACAACCAGTATTGCCTTACAAGCAAACTGCTACGTAATCTTAACTTAGAGAATATCTTTGAAAACACTCTCCAAAGACAGGTAGATATATCTGCTTATTTTCATTTCCTCCTATGTGGTGATGGGAACCTGTATGCCAATTTTCAAAGCAACTGTATTGTTTAAACCTTTAACTATATACAGTAAGTTTCAAACTATTTTATGTTTTTATATATAATATACCATTAGTGGCATTTCATACTATTTTTCACCCATAATACCGAATGAAATACTTCCTATGAAACTTATAGGAATTATTCAGAGTCAGATACGAACTTCATAAGAAATGCATCGAACAGAAGGAAATGGAAGAAAACCTGACTAGCTGTTGGCCGTTTCTTGGGATCCCACTGGAGCATGTCTCTCAGGAGCTGAATGGCTTCGCTGCTCGCATTTGGAATCAGGGTCTTTAAGTTATTGGGTACACACTGGGGCCAGCGGAAGTTCATTGCACTAGAGAGTTGGTAGCCTTCAGGCCAGTCGGTCTGAAAGAAGGAAGACACAGAAGATCTTGCTTAGCCGACTTGTTGTGATAGTTTCTATTCTGGCCCATGTACCCCTAACGGAAAAGCAATCATGTCATTACCGTGCTCATACTCACAGGGTAGCACCACGTGCGATGAAACACAGAGGATGCTAATGGAGGAACTACAAAGAACATTAAGTCAGAGAAACAGTGGGAAACACACTGAATTTGCCACCAACTGGTTTTATAACCCTTTTTTTTAAAAAAAGATTTATTTATTTATTTGACAAAGAGAGAGACACAGCGAGAGAGGGAACACAAGCAGGGGAAGCAGGAGAGGGAGAAGCAGGCTTCCTGCAGAGCAGGGAGCCCGATGCGGGGCTCGATCCCAGGACCCTGGGATCATGACCTGAGCCGAAGGCAGATGCTTAACTGACTGAGCCACCCAGGTGCTGGACAATATCCCTATCTTGATCATTCAAAATAACCATGTGGAGAAGTCCTGCAATAAAGAAAGCTGTTCCACTCAGTCTCAAGCTCTCCACTGTTCCATGCGTCATTCCCACTAAATTCGGGAGGTAATACAGAAAAAGATGAGCAAATAATCTTTAAGGTCCCTTCTAGTTCCAACACTACTATTTTACAAAACACATTCTGGTATAATTGCTTTTATCTTTTTTTAAGGTCAAGTGGCATTATGTATCGCTAATGTCATTTATTCAGTTAGATGGCTACTGAGTGTTTACTATATGTTTAGTGTTGTTGGGTATCCGAAAATAATCCAGTATAAATCCTGCCCTTAAGGATGTTACTGTCCAAAAGGAGAAGATAAGACATTTATTTAAAAACACAATAATACAGAGGAAAAAAAGTGATGAGGGTCACAAGAGAGGTACAGGTATCCAGAGGAGGGAAACATTCCAGCAAAAGACTCTGGAAATCTTGAAAAGGTGGCACTCATGATTTATTCAAATGATCTAAAATGTTTCTGAGGGTCTAGTTTGTACGAGCAATGGTGCTAGGACCTGGAAAATTAATACCAATAAACACAAGCCTATGATCCAGGGCACAGAGATGTACAGGGATAAAGATATTACTAACGCAGAACATAGCTGAAATGGAGAGGAGAGCAGAGCAGCAGAGAGGAGGTAAACTACTGAGGGGCCTTGGAAAAAGGGTGGACTTCGGTCACGTGGGATATTTACGCAGGGATGCAGAGCGCGCATGTGCAGAGCAGGGACGCGGGGCGCCACCAGGGCCGCGGCAGCATGGTGCAGGGAGCACCTGGGAGATTAGCGGCGAGAGTGAAGAAGGCTGGGGTGTGGGGCCTCAACGGGTATTTTCAGCAGGGAGGGCCGTACCAGGGCTTCTGTTTGGCTGGGGGAGATCTGGCTGCAGAGCAAAAGATAAGCTGGGGGCAGGACTTGAGGGCAGGCAGACTGGGAAGATGCCCCAGACACAGCGGGAGGCTCACCGCTGGCGGCAGCGGGGCTCCCGGGCCAGAGCTGTGCAGCCAAGTTCAACAGGATTTGTGGCCGGGGAAGGAGGGTACGGGAGAGAGAGGGTGACACTGAAACTCAGCCTCAAGGCTGGGGTGCTGGGATTCTGGTGAGAGCGCGGACAGGAACGGGGAACGGGGCAAGAAGGCTAGCTGGGGGTCAGCCAAACACAATCTGTGTCAGATGTTGGGTCCACGGTGACGGTGAGGGTGTCGGGAGGAAATCTCACAGGTAGCCTAGGTATGTGACTGCAGTTCCAAGGAGGGATTTCACTTAGGAGATTTCCGAATGGATGCAGAAGTTGTAGCCATGAGGATAGAGAAGCCCGGCAGGGGAGGTGAGGTGGCCGAGAGAAGAGCAGAGGGAGCTATAACACGTGTACTTAAGATTAAGAGCAGGAGGGCCAGGGGCAGCCCCGTCTGCGGAAGGGGCAGGGAAGGACCACTGAGGTCGAGAGAAAGACTGCAGGTCCAGCAGGTGATCCAAAGGGGCAAGGCTGCATGGGGTGCAGGAGGGGGCGGGGGGAGGGGGCGGGTAGAGGGAGGGGAAGCTGCTGGCTTCAGCCCACACGTTTTTGTTCCGGATCATTACCTTTTTGGGTGTCCCCAGCAGCTGGCAAATTTTGAAGATGGTGTCAATTTCACTGGCCCCGGGGAAGAGTGGCCTGAGGGTGTACACTTCGGCCATGATGCAGCCCACCGCCCAGATGTCAATGGGGGAGCTGTAGTTGGTAGACCTCAGGAGCACTTCTGGAGCCCGGTACCTGGAGGGGCAGAGATGAACTGCTGGTTAGTGCTGCTTCAGGCCAGAAGTTAAATGAAATACTATCATCAATTCTCAGGGAGAGACCTGTATTTCTAATTTCTATCTAGTTCCGCGTGAGAGGTGGACTCAGGATGGCTTGGCACGCCATTATAAAGTAGTGCTTCTCTATTTCATGGTATTTTCTACTGAGCATTTCTCTGCAGGACTCTGCTGTACAGCATCATTGAGAAACACAGTGAGAGTGAGGAAAGAGAGAACAGGAGAAAGAGAGAATATAAAACTTGTCTGCAGGCTACTTCTTGGTCATGGCCAACTGCTTAAATGCTCCGGGTCTGAAAGTTTCAGCATAGTCGTTAGCTGGTTTTTTTAGACAGGTCTTTGGAGAATCTTCTACACAACTCTTTTAGGAAACAGTCTTCAGTTAGGGCTGAAAATAAAATATTATTTATATCATGGAAAAGCATCACGGGCCTCCTTTTAAAAGGATTTACAGCCCAAGCTTTTAAACCTTTAGTGAAAAGTTAGTTATGTGTGACATTAATGTTATCCTCAGTATGATATATACGTATATTTTAAAAGAAGTGCAATTAAATAATTTTAAGGAAAGAGGATTTACCATCTGGTAGATACATAGTCTGTGTATGGGGGTCTTGATCGGATTTCTCGGGCCAACCCGAAGTCTGCAATTTTCACAAGTTCTGGGCCCATGCAGAGGAGGTTCTCAGGCTTTAAGTCCCGATGGAAGAAGCCTGTAGAGAGAGTGGAGAAGGAATTCCAGTGCATATTTGCTTCTGCATTACTCCTTGCAGCTGTATTTCTCTTTTCATAAATATCTATAACTTGAAAAGTAGCCTGGAATGACACTGAAGGCTCTCTGCACAGGACTTCTTTCATTTCCCACTGATGAATTCAAAATGTAAAACAATTCAGAAACTGATCTTCGTAATTTTTTTCCAAGATAGAAAACAGCTTTTAAAATATCAAAACTCAGTTATGGGCTGAGATAACTTTGCGAAAAGAAACTGTCACCCAAGGCGGGGGGGGGGGGATTATATATATCATGCCTACACTGCCCAAGGCAGCTAGAAAGAATCTGAGATTAAAACCATTTCAAAAGACAAAAGTCTTATGAGTTGAGAGTCTTTATCACAAGAAAAATACAATTATAATTCTTGTTTAAGGAACAAGGGATTTAAGAATATGACCTACTCGTATCTGAGATTCTGGTTGTTGCACCAAATATTTTATATGTTAAATGTTTATTACTTTGCCTAATGAAGAAGTAGAGGTATACCAGCAGCATGCACTGTGGAAGGCAAAGACAACTCACCAAATGGGAAGCCTGTCTCAGCTACAGAGCTCTGGGGGTGTGTGCAGGATATTCAACATGCGAACTTTCCAGGTGCGCTCAGACACCCACTGATCAGTGAATAAATGCCTCTGAAAACCTAAAACCTTCCACTTGTAGAGAGCATCACTGACATAGACATCATTCTGCATGACTCTAAATCTCAAAGGAACACCGAAATTGGAAATACAACTCTGTGAACAATGCTGATGGTGTTATTTGTTATGTGCTGTCTTTATCAATGTTGTGACAGTTGGATCCCAACCAGCACATGATGGGGGGAATGAATCGCCATCACAGAAGAGCTACACTATTCCCTGACAACCTCTGTGCTGAAGATGCTCAGATCTACATCTCTGACACACCTTTCCCACCCTTCTCTGGACCCACGTCTCCAATGGGGTAGCAGATGGATATCACCGTTTCCCATCAACCTGTCCCAAACCACTCTTCTCCTCTCCCAAATCATCTCTCCTTCCCAAACCTTTGATAAGATATCCTGGTTCCTTGTAGTTATATTGGATCCTTCCCAAACAGTCATGGAATTATGTTCTATTTCTCACCCAAATATCTCCTATCTGATCCTTCCTGCCCCCTTTCACTCCTCCTTCCCAAATCTTTGCTCTCCTCGCCTATCCCTCCACTGCCCCTTGCTGTCAGGCCTTCCTCAATCAGCTTCTCTGGATTTCCACACTTCCCGATAATTTAAACACTGTCTTTCCCTTGTCACTGTCACACACACGCACACAGAGCCTTCCATGGCTCCTTTAAAGTTATTTAAAAGCTCGAACTCTTTTCAGTCTACCTAAAGGGATAGACTTATTTTCTAATATCACCAGGATATATAAAGTATGTTCCAGTCAGCTAAAATTCCTCATTTCCTACAGGTTCATTGTATCTATTCCCATTAACAATGTTGCACCCTTGTTCCTTTTTATCTATGTCAATCCCAATTTTTGTCATCCTTCAAGACCTACGCTGAGTTTCCCCTCCTCCAGGAAGCCATTTTAATCATGCTAGGCTTCTTCCCTCATTCACCCTATCAGTAAATGTTCACTGAGGGCCCCCTCCAGGCCAGGCACTGGGCGAGGCTCTGTGGATTCAGAAGCAACCCAAATGGACAGTTCTTTCCCTGGTAGACATGATAGGCTCTTCCCTCTGAACTTGAGCAGAACTCTGCCATTTTCAGGTATATTGACAATCTCTCTATGATTAGATGGAGCACTTTAAGGGTAGAAGCCACAATTCTACTTTTTCTGAATGCCTAGCACCATGGCAGGAGCATGGTGGTCTCATAACATAGTCTTATTGACTGAACAAAGGACTTGAATAGGTTTGTAGGGAACATGAAAGAGCTCAATGCTGACAAATTTACTTTGGCCAAGTAGGCAGGGGCAACAGAGAGAAGACCAGGAGGCAGGAAGGCTCACTAGACAGCAACTGAGAAGTGAGAAGAGCAGTGACCCTGAAGTAGTGGGGGAGACACTGAGGGCTCAGGGCAGGAAGTCCTCAGCACGGGGGGAGCTCCAGCAGGACTAAAGCCCCCAAACCCTCTCTGCTCTAGAGGAAGGGGCAGGTGACTGTGGTGTGGCTATACCTGAACATGCAGTGGATGTCACGTATCATGGAAAGCAACAGTATTTTAAAAGAAAAGACACTCCCCTCTGTTCATCGCCAGAGCTTGGTATTAGGTCACACTCCAAATAGATAGTTTTATGGCATAATGATGGGTCTGCAGGCAAATGGCTGGCTAAGATGCACAAAATAAATATAATTACAGAGCACACAGAAGGGGCCAAAGGCGCAGTCGGTTGGGTGTCTGACTCTTGGTTTCGGCTCAGGTTGGGATCTCAAGGTTGTGAGATCGAGGCCTGTGTTGGGCTCTGTGCTGAGTGTGGAGTCTGCTTAAGACTCTCCCTCTCCCTCTGCCCCTCCCACTCACGCTCTCTTTAAGATAAATAAATACATCTTTAAAAAAATAAAAATAAAAAAAATAATTAAAAAAAAAGAAGGCGCTGAAGGTACAGAAGGGATCATACATATTCAAGAGGGCCCCAAGTGAGAAGAGGAAGTACTTCCTTCCCGCCAAAGGCTGCTTCTATTTTCCATAATCCAAGGCATTGAGAAGATCAAAGGAGTCCTGCCTGGGTTAGACCAGAGACGGGTACGGAGAGTTTGCTATTGGTACATCATATGAACGTGTGTGTGTGCATATGCCTGTGTATCTCGTTTGTATGGAAATGTATATGGAAAGAAAAAAATATATATATATGTCTACATTCCATTGCTTCAATTCTTTAGTCTGCCATCATACCAATATATACCCTACGGCCTTCTTCTCACCACTTCCTTAAGTATCCTAACCAAATTAATGATAAATTAAACCTAAATTATAGTAAGAACCAAACTTGAGGCTGTCAGCAAATTCAAATGGTAATTCAATATTAGACAAGGATGGCCTTTAAAATAAAAGAATTTTCTGGGGCGCCTGGGTGGCTCAGTCGGTTAAGTGTCTCCCTTCGGCTCAGGTCATGATCTTAGGGTCCTGGGATCGAGCCCCGCATCGGGCTCCCTGCTCCGCCTGCTTCTCCCTCTGCCTGCTGCTCCCCCTGCTTGTGCTCTCTCTCTCTCTCAAATAAATAAAATCTTTTAAAAAAATAAAATAGAAGAATTTTCTGATGTGGACAAGTTTGGATGGCTTATTATCAGACGAATTAAATAAAGATGATCAATGCACACCAGAGTGGGTGGTTTCTAAGACTCAATATAACTGAGTCATCATGTTTGGACCCTCCGTTCTTCAGAGCACCCTCCAGCTCCCAGAAGGCCTGGTTGTACGCTCCCATCTTGTAATCGGCTTAAGAATGTGCAAAGACAGAAGCAGTTACCAGAGAGTGATCTTTTGTCAGTGCATGCAGGAAAACTCCTGTGACCCTGAAAAGCTATGAGTTGTGGGACCATGGGCTCTCTTCCGAAAAACTCAGAACATTAAAAACACACCAGTGAAAAAAAGAAATGGCAAACATCATTTTCCAACTGAACAGATGGGAAAAGTGAGTCATTGGTTGGTTGGTGGGGGGTGGTTAATTATTCACAGTCCTACCAGAAATGTGCTAGAGCCATTGTACTTTTGGGCTTGACTCTGTCCCTCTCAATCCATATAGTTCAATCTTGATTTGTGGTTCTAGTCCTCTCAAGCACACATTGACGCTGTTTCTCCTCTTAGACACCTTTTCTCCTCTACTTGGGCTAAATTATTATTTCCAAACTCATGTGGCCTTTCCCTTATTGTAAGTCATTTGTCTTCCAGCGTCCAAGCCATGGTGAGTTCCCTCTGCCACCAACTATAACACCCACCTCAACGAACTTGCACCTTATCCTTGCTCAGTTCATCCCATCACACTGACTTATACTATGGTACAAGAATCACTCTTACACCCCGGACTTTGCACCTTGCTTCCACCATAGGTTATGCTCCCGTGAGCACTGACCACCTCCTCACATTAGTCAAGCTCCATCCTTTCCCTCGCTGCTAGCTCCTCTTTAATCCTACCAGAACAGATGCACTCATAAAATGAGGAGAATGAGGATTCTGGTCCCCCATGTGTCTGTGTAAGCAGCTCCACATTCTATAGATCATATTTCGGGCCCAAAACAATCAGGAACAATGGCTAGGAAAAAACTTAATTGTGAACAGACCCTTACAGATGACTAACGAAAACTGTATTTGTCAGGTGACATATGCTGTTTGTTATACTGTATTTGAGTATAGGCCTTTATAACTAGGAAGCATTCATGAATATGTCTGTAGAAGATCTAGCCCTCTGTTCTTTTCATTACCACATTAGCTACTATTAGTCTTACACCCATGAGTTCTATCCCTTGGTAATTAAAACCATAAGGCCCTCACGTTGTGTACATGTAGTTTTCACCTCTATTTTAACAAAAATATTATACTCTCCATACGAGAGGCAACGCAGCATAGTGGGGAAGTGTGCAGACCAGTCAGGTGGCCCAATTTCAAATCTCAATTCTGTTCCCTGTCTGGAAAGTCACTTAACCTCTCTGTGCCTCACTTTCCTAACCTGGAAAATGGGAAGAAAACCTTGACGGCTTGTTTTGCAGGATGCAATGTGTTAATTTTGTAAAGGTTTTAGAGCCATGCCTGGCCCCTTGCGAGACCTTGTCATTAGTAGTAGTATGAATCCTCTTATCCTCTCAATAAGGGGGCAGGCATACACAGCTCCATTTTTTTCATGTAAGAATTAAGGCTTATGAAGCTAGTCATGCACTTCACCTGTGAGGAGGTGGTACTAAGCTCTGATCCAGTTCTTAGCTAGGTACGTGTCCTGCCGATGCGTGCACTGGAGCTTGTAACAATGAGCCCACTTCTTCCTCTGGGCTTCTGATTCACAGTGGGAACCTATACGGATGGGTCATTCAGACATCACGCAACAGCAAAGTGCTATCAAGATAAGAATCTTTCTGTTCAAACTGTTTGGCTTCCAGAAGACAGGAACAAACCTTCAATTAAATTTCAGGGTACCCCATGCAAGTCAAATAACAGAGGGATTTTCTCTTTCATCCTGGCAGAAACTGTGCGGTGCTTACTTTTCATTAATAACCCTTGGGCAAGGAAAACATCAAGCCACAAAGAAGGCTTTCTCCCCTCTGCCACATTCTGTTAATGATGAACCGGATATGAATATATGGAAATAACCAGGGAATACCGGAACACGAGGAATTTATGTAGCACACCTTCCTGCTATGGAAGTTGTTAGTTCCACAGATATTACTGAATTTAAACCTACAGTGTTTTTATGATCAAGAAGAACAGGACAGCAATGCGTAGAAAGGCCAAGGGCTGACTCAAGGTCATGCACTACAAGACAGTGGTGAAACACAGAAGCAGAGAACTTCTTGGGGCAAAACATTGTCCTCCAAGCCACCTAAGTCATTTCTGATTGGGTAACGGTGAGTAAGTATGAGCTGGACATTTCTAAGGGCAGGTCAAGGATGAAACACGGTTTGCATTAATTATTTAATTCCAGCAAAGTACATAAGCTTTGGCATTGCTCAATCAGCACCAAGTGGAGTCACGTTTTCATTCCCTGCGGGGGGAAAGTACTCAGTGACATGAACTATGACCATAGCAACTACCTGCAGTGCTATTCTCCCCTCTCGAAGGAGTCTACTCCCTGGGGGCAGAATGCACCTTCTCACAGTGAGAACAAGCTAACAAAACAAATCTGTGAAGTGCTTGAGATGATTTTTTTTTTCTATTACCCGAGGAAAGGGATAGTATGGAGTTACATGTGCACTTCAACAAAGGCAAGTCAATTACCATATAAAAACCAACTGTTACAAAGTTTCCAAAAATCACTTACCAATGAAAATGAGATGGGGCCTGTAAAATTAATATCCCTCCCACCTACAATTATTACCACTATTTGGTTCACCTCTCATTCTCTGGTTCTCTTTGAGAAAACACAGGTTTTTCTAGTAAAGCATGGCAAATAGGCACAGACCCCCGAGCTAATCTCCACCCTACTTTGCTGCACTGGGGGCTTTGGCAGGTCTTTCAACCTCTCTGAACGTCAGTTTCTTCTTCTTTGGAAGGGACAGATACCTTGCTCACTGAGAAAGTGGCAAGGAAATAAGTCGGGTGACAGATGAAATGTTATGAAGCTCAAACTAGAACTGGGCACCTTAAACAGCCAGGGAAAAGCGTCCAAAGAATCTTTGGTAATAGCAATGGCACTGGGGTTGTAAAAACAGAGGTGGTCTGACTTACTCCATGACCTGAGCCTTCCCTTGCACTGCCTTCCCTTGGATCTGAGTGTTCAAGGTGTGTGAGGGAAAGTGACAGTGCAGAGTTTCCAAGAGCTGTGGTATCACAACAGTATCTGGATGCTACATTACTGGATACAAATATGCAGTGTGTGTGTGCACATACATGTGCATTTGTGGGTGTGGGTGTGTGCAGGTGTTGGGGGGAGCAGTGTACATGCAGGTATGTGGGCTTGTGTATGTGTAGATGCATATGCACATGCATGAGGCGCATTATGTGAGTGTGTGTGTTCATTTGATGGGATTAGGTAGAGACCCAGGTAAAAAGACTACAAGTCCATTCTGGCAACAGATACCTGAGTCTCATGAAATGCAACCAAAGGAAAAGAAGAGAAAGCCAATGAATATTCACTTTCTTTCAGGTCCACTACTCAGTTTCCAGGACTGAGCAAACAGCCTGAGTAACTGAGACATTATGTGACTGTCCCTGTGTGAAAACATTCTGGTCGATCTTTCTCTTTTGAGAATCTCTTTGATTTCTCATCACTTCCTTTTGCTAGGCTCTTAAATCTAGTAAGTTACCCTTCTCCCCCTATCTGTCCCTAAGACACCATACCAGTTTTCCATGTTTTGCAAATTCCATCCCTTGTGAATTCTGGTGACTGAAGGCTCTATCGATGCCAACAGAATTGGGCTGGCATTTTACTGAAAACTTTTTACTGGAGTTGGTTCACAAATGGACTCAGTCTTGCATATTACCCACTTATTATTCAGCATGTGCCTGATGCTGACATGGATTTGCACAGATAGCCTTTGTCTATCTGCGCTTCACTTAGCCTCTAACCGAGGGGCTACCCAGAGGTTAAAGAGCAGACTGGGAAAGATCCCAGGATGAACCATGCCACTGGCTGAGGCGCGGTGTCTTTTCTACACACTGCCAATTTGTGTCAACTCTGCGCTGACTATATTATCAAAGGGCTTCCGCCCAGGTTCCTTACTGGGTAATGAAACTTATCTGTTGGTGCAATATTTGCAACGGCAACAACACCTTCAGGCTGGGGGTGAATGGCTTTCTGCCTGTGCAAGATCAACTGCTTGGTCCATCTGTCTTTAAAGTTAAAGTGACTTCAAATGACCCCCTACGGGACTCCTGGCTCCGCTGGTGGACATGTCCATCCCATGGCTCTAGGTTCACAAGAAGGTGGGTCTGCGTCTTGTTAGTAGCAGAGACTTCGTAACGTCCCAGGTGTTTGCTGGAAAATATAGCCTCAGGGTCATTGCTACTCAACACCTTTCAAAAGCTCAGCTGAGGACAACAGTATTGGAGGACTTCCCGAAGGGTACGTGGCCATCCATTCCTCTAGATATTCTAAATCTCTCCTTGGACGACTGAGACCATCCCTACGGTGAATCATGCTGGGCCCCAGTAGGACTGTTTTCTCTGATCAAGTGATATAACTGGCCTAGAATGAGGGATATGACATGAAACTGCCCTATGCAACCTGTTACTGCTTACCGTGAAGTCATGTTACATACTGTCCGCTCTAGAAGGATCCATAAGGGAAACCTCTTTGGTCTTAGTTCCAAGAATAGTTCTGCTTCTCTTGGGCAACTGGACTGTTTTTATTGGGGTGGGGGAACTATGTTGGATGCAGTTGGTCATGTCTCACATTTTGCATTGTCAGAGGCAAGTTCAGAATAAAATCTGTAGCCTATTTCTTTTACTTAAGTAGAACTTGCGGACATGCCTTTTGCAGATTAACTTCCCCCTCTGGCTATATCCATACCTTGTTTTGTTTTTGTCTTTTTCTTTCTTTGTTAATTTTTAATTGATTTTATTTTCCTGTGTTGAATAAATTTTGTTAGGCCCTTTTTGGACGCTTTTGGACTGAAATATAATACATCAGGAAAATGAGAAGCCACAGTGAAGCAGTAATAGTAGATTAAACATAATACATGAAATGTCTCTGAATTCTAATCTTAGGCATCTTATTAATACACCAGGTAATGGGCAGGAATAACTTTTAGACCTATAACCAACGAGCTTAATGTTAAAGCCTAAAGAATAAGAACACGTGGACATGATAAATAATGAGAAAAATTCAGAAATCAAGTGACAAAAGAGAACATATCCCAAACCCCACTGTCAGCCTCCCAACCTGTCAACCTCTTCTGGGAGGCAGTCACTAAAGACCCTGATGCTTCCTGTACCTTCTACCTGATGACAACATTTCACTGCTGTTAAAAAGCACAAGACTCCAAATCACCTACCGTGTTTGTGAATAAATGCAAGTCCTTGTAATATCTGGTACATTATATTCCTTATAGCAGATTCAGGAAACAACTTATTTCTGGATGGGACAAAGGAGGACAAAGGTTATAAATCTAGATTTACATACGAAAACAAATACTCTATGTTCCTGTTCTTTTGGTTATACAGTAAGAATGTAAGAAAACATTTGCTCACACACTAATGTGACCAGATCCTTTGATAATAAAGACCAAAGAAAAACAACCACTTGTCCGTACAAGACAGCTACCTTGTAAACACTGGTGTATTGGTATAATGGCAACTGGTATGTTCAGTTATGTTACAAAGAAGAAAAGATTAAACATTTTATAGTAACCGCCCCCCCAAACCCTCCAATCTATCCTATAAAAATCTTCTCTCTCCATAATATAAAACTTAAAAAAATTGTAACGGGGAAAATCTGAGGTCTTCCAGATGAAGTCCTTATGAAATGTGGTGGATATAGCAGGGGGTAGTGCTGTACCCCCCTGGAAGGGCAAACCATACAGCTTCTCTGTTGTCAGCGACAACGAAGACCCTATTTGTAGACTGAATTCACTCAGAGAGAAGCTGGGAATGAAGCACTCACTTGCCACTGAGAAAATATGCCCTAGAACTTCCACGTGGTTCACTTTCAAAGTTCAAAAGTACCATAGCAGTTAAGTTTGTTATTAGTTTCCTCTTCCCAGCACACAAGCCCCTGAGCACTGTACAAGAAAGCAAGGGCAAGAAACCTCCAAGTTCTCAATGGAGGTCTCAGAAAGAACGAAACCATTACACCTTGACCTATAATTGCTCTGCCCATATGTCCTTGTGGGAATGGAGAGCTGCAGAGTATCTGTTCAATCTCTGAGCTTCTCTGGGTGAATAACCCATTGAAACAGGAAAACGGCTGCACTGAATGTGGCTTCTATGAAGGCCTCACGAGGCCTCCAGAGTAGGAATGTGGCCTGGGCCTCTCATCTACAGGGAAGCCTAAGCAGCATTAACTGCGACAGACAAAAGCAAAAAAGAAAACACATCCTCTTTGGGATATTTACTTCTAAGATCACGATGATGAAACTGTACCTTTCTTTAATGAGCTGGTAAAGATTTTCCTTCATGTACTCGAAGATAAAATAAAGATGATCATTTTCCCTGATAACTTCTTTTAATTTTACCACATTGGCATGGTTGAGCTTCTTTAACGACTGAAAGGCAAGGGGGAGAAACAGAAAAAAATGAGAGAAAATCTGTTGTTGGAAAAGAAAAGCAACGGCACATATACTTCGGAAGAAACATCTAATTCTAGAACCACAGAAGTGCCACAATCCCTATTTTATTGACAATACATGGTATTTCGCTGAAGTCAATAATCACTTTAATGTAGAAAAACCATTTCGATTAGCTGACTAGCAAGTAAGTACTTGACCATTACGGGTATTTCTGGCTCCTGGCTGCACCAGCCAATGGGCCAGGGCTATTTTAGGTGCACTCCTTCCAGATGATGGGATTCATGCCATGAAAACGGCCAGAGGGAACCAATGGGGAGCCGAAGCTTTGATTGTTCTAGTATTGGAAAAGGTAGCTGCTCTGGGCCGAGATGACCAGCTAACAGTCTGTAGACCCTGTGAACAGGAAGTTGTTCACATAGACAGAGGCTGATAGCCCAAGGCTTTCAACTTCCGTCAGACTCATGTGTGTCCACGAGGCACACACCAGTCCTTACGATGGGAGTTTTATTTTTTTTAATAGTTTATTTAATTCAAGTTAGTTAACATATGGTGTAGTATTGGGTTTCAGGAGAGGTATTTAGTGATTCATCACTTACATACAACACCCAGTGCTCCACCCAACAAGTGCCCTCTTTAATCCCCAACCCGCCCCAGACCCCCCACTGATGTGAGTTTTATTTATTTATTTTTTAAAAGATTTTATTTATTTATTTTACAGGGAGAGACACAGCGAGAGAGGGAACACAAGCAAGGGAGTGGGAGAGGGAGAAGCAGGCTCCCCACCAAGCAGGGAGCCCGATGCGGGGCTCGATCCCAACCTGAGCCGAAGGCAGACACCCAACGACTGAGCCAGCCAGGCGCCCCTGATGTGAGTTTTAAAGGAGAAAGGATGAAGAGGAGAAATCTCATTGCAAAGCCCTCCTGCCCACCCCCCAACCCAAGGTGAGATGGGAGAAAAGAGCTCTGCTTCCAAGAACAGCAAAGGCAAAAAAGTCAGGCGGGTGATGAGAAACAAGAGAGTGGCTCAGAAAATGGGGTGTGACCTGATTCCTCATCCTTGCGCACGTGCAGTTTTCCTGTTCCTGCCACAACCCCATGAGCAGAGCCACGTGTCAACTTTTTTCTGTTTGCATCATTAGTTCTGTTCATGGTGAGCGAGTACACTTTTGTATTCATAAGCAGCGATCCTGTTCATATACGACAGCCAGAGAAACTGTGGCTTTGCTCACCAGATGGTCAGAATCTGATTAACAGTCTCCTGCAAGGGAGCCTCCAAGGGCCACCGGCCAGTGGGATGAGCCCTTTAATTCCAAAAGCCTTTTCCTCACAGAGAAGTGACTCTGATAATAATACATTGTCAAGCCCTCCTTATCTTTGAATTTCCTTAAAAAGAACACTCCTTTTATAAAATAAACACGGTGGCGGAAGACAAAAAGGTGAACACGAATATCCAAATCTAGGACACCCAGTAATAATGCCTCCACGGAATCAGAGCTTGGGAATGCTGTAATATGATCGAGTTACTTCAAGCGGCTGGGAAAAGGGAGGAAATATGGCCAGTGAATGAGAACAAAATAAAACTCTTCTGGAGCCTCTTTCCTGAAAGAAAAACTCCTGCCAAGGAGCCTCTCTAGCAGGAAATCCTCAACCGGAGGCCGGATCCTTCTAGAATGACCCAACCAGGCTGATTAGTTGTTTTAGTGAGGTTGGTTTCCAGGTTCTCCATGAGTAACAAACACAAACATTGCTTAACTCGTAAGTTTTCACCTCTGCAGCCTTCTTTTCTATTCGCTTAAAATGCATCACAGCAATGGCTGACATGTCCAGTGGATGAGCTGCAGGATGAACGCGGCAAATTCAGTCAGAGGAAAATGAAGTAGGTTTTTTAAGCTTTTCAAGAGGAGCATCCTAGGCAAGGAACAGGGTACCTTCCATGCTTGGCCTGACATTTGTTTTGAGCATGAATTACTGGTTCAAGTCTAAGGGCTCATAGTCCTTGTTCCTGAGTGAGCCTCACGGACAAGTAAAGTCTGTATTAGTTTAATATAAAAGGGATGAATTTTGTGTGGGAGATTTCATGTGACTCATTTTACAGAGAGAAGGCATCTTATTTAGGCTCAGGAAAGGTTTACAAGGAGAGGAAGACGCAGGACACTTAGAGCCAAGAAGCACAAATAGCAAATTAAAACCAGGTCAGCAGTCCAAATGGAGACTATTTATCCCCATTTGGATGAAGGTTCTTAATAATTTAACAAAACTACAACGTACTGCTCCTCGAGGGTACCCAGGGGCATGAGACACAGTCCTTGTCTGTAAGAGGCAAATAGCCTAATTAAGAAGAGAGGGCACGAATATCCACAGAACAGAATGAGGGAGATTTTATTAGGGTCAAGAGAACGACAGAGACAAGGAACCTTAGAAATGTTTCAAGAAGGAGTAATCAGCAAACCCCAATGGTCAATGAGTGTATCATCCACAATGTGACTTGAAAGAAGAATAGCATCTAGACAAGTCAGTGGGAGGGAAAGGGTGTGTCAGGAGAGAAGCCCTTCTTAGGTATGGGTGTGGGAGTGGAATGGTGTGGTCTATGCCTGAGGGATGAGAACTGCCCCAGTCTGGTTCCGAAGGAAGCTCATTCAGAAGACTCTGACAGGGAAAGTGGGCAAGGGAATACACTGGTTGGATGCCAGGTGCATATGCCATTGAAGCCTGACAAACGTGAGTCTGAAACCAAGCTTTGTGGCTTAGAGTTGCATTCACCTTGAGCAAGTGACTGAGTCTCTGGGCCGCAGCTGTTCTCAGCAGCAAACCCAAGGTACTAGCATTTTCCTCATGAGGTAGTTGTGAGGATGAAATAAGACAACGCAGATGCTGTCTGGCTTATAGTAGCATCTCAGGAAATGGTAGGTAGTGTGTGAATGGCTGAATGTCCCTGAGATCATTCTGGGGACAGCACATGGGGTGGATAAGATGTGGAGGAAGTGAGGTCACACAGACCACCTGCAGTGAGCTGCAGTTTCTGGGTGAATGGGTAAATGATCCTTAACAGAAGAGGGAGAAAATAGGAGCACTGGGGGAGGCAGACATTCCAGAAAATTCAGGCGCTGATATCCACGAAGCAGTTGGATATGTGCGCCTGAAGCAGGCATCAGTAAACTTTTCTTAAAGGGACAGAGAATAAACATTTTAGGCTTTCTAGGTCATATGGTCCCTGCCCTAACTACTCAACTTTGCCGTCAAAGTGTGAAATTTGCCAATAGAAAATATGTAATCAAGTGGGTGAGTGTTCCAACAAAATTGCATTTAAACAGAACATGGCCATTCATCAACTCCTGGTCTGGTGCTTACAAAGGATAAAAGATTTGATGAGACCACTGAAGTGAGGGAAGTAAATGAAATTACTCGGGAGGAGATTCAGAGCAAAGGAGAAAATGGCTAAGGACGGAATGTGAGAAATCATCGCTATTTAAAGGGTGAACTACAGAGCACTTGAAGAAAGGCAAGAAAGAGATAGGACAGTGAGGCCAAAGCAGAGTCACACAGCCCTGGGAGAAGACAGTACCCAGCACCGCAGGCAAGACAATGCCTGAGAAAACGAACTGGAGGGGCGCCTGCGTGACTCAATCGGTTAAGTGTCTGCCTTCGGCTCAGGTCATGATCCCAGGGTCCTGGGATCGAACCCCACGTCAGGCTCCCTGCTCAGCTGATCAGGGAGGATGGAGGGTACATATATTTATTTAGAGATGGAAGAGAAGGAGCCAGTGGAAAGGAAGAGCTTAAAGAAATGGGAAGGTTCACAAGAGCCAAAAGGTGGGAGCAGCCCAAGTGTCCGTCAATGGGTGAATGGATCAACAAAATGTGGCATCTACCTAAAACCGAATAGGATTTCGCCTTAAAAAGAAGGAAACTCTGACACAGGCTATGACATGAACCTTGAAGACACGATGCCAAGTGAAATAAGCCAGGCAAAAAAAGAAATAATTCCAGTTATCTGAGGCACCCGGAGTAGTCAAATTCATAGAGACAGAAATTACAAGGGTGTGTGCCAAGGGCTGGGGGCAGAGGGGTCACGGGGGTTGTTGTTTAACGGGTTCAGAGTTTCAAGTGTGCAAGATGAAGAGAGTTCTGGAGGTGGATGGAGGTGCTGACCAGACAACAATACCACTTAATACCACTGAATGGTGCTCTTACAAATTCGTAATATGATAAATTTCATGTATGTATATTTCATCACACTTGGAAAGGGAAAGGACATTAGTGGGAAACGTGTGAGATCGGAATAAATCTGTGGTTTAGTTAATAGTACTATGCCAAAGTTTAAAAAAGTATATTTACTAATATAATAGCAATCTTCTACTTTGAGCTATTAGCTGTATAATGTTGTCATTTGCCCCCTTTTGTTAGCATCAGTGGAACAATTCAAACAGAATGACTAACTCTATCAACCATAAATCTAAGCAAGTATAAAGCTATTTTAATCAACCATACATAAATTTTTCCCTGGTGTATTAATAAATACCTTAACCTCCCGAAGGTTCATGCATTCCTCCCAGGAATAAAACTTTCTTTTCATTCTAAAAGAGAACAAAGAAACAAATAGCATGCTTATTCCCAGCAACAGGCTAAACTTTCTTGTTTAAAAATGTTTTCAATCTGGGCAGGGGGGAGGTGGAAAACAAAAAACCCAAAACACTAAAAACCCCAAAAACCCCAAACCCAAAACAAACAAAAAATATGTTTTCATTCTGAATCTAATGAATAGTGCTTAAAGCTGGTTTCAATTTCTACCAAATATTATACTATCCAAAACATTCATTTTAAAATCTGGCAACGCGATCAATCCTACATCACAAAATTTCCCAGCAGAGATGGTGCAAGGCAGTGCAAGGAGACCTCTCCAGCTGTCTTGCTCCATCACTAATTGGCTAACCTTGTCCTGGAGGCTAATCCCTCAGGCTTATTTGATCTAGACTAGAGCTCTCCAACAGAATTTTCTGTATTAATGGGAATGCTCTGTGCTGTCCAGAATGGTAGCCATGAGACTATACAAATCTGGACAGTGAATACTTGGAATATGGCTAGCATAACATAGGAACTCAATTTTTAAGAAAATTCACATTTAAATGCCCTATGGTTACTTGCCACCCTGTTGGACAACACAGTTCTAGACCCTCTGGTGCAGGGGTTGGCAAACTATGGCCCACGGGCCAACTCTACCCCACCATCTCTTTCTGTGCGGCCCATAACTAAGAATGATGTTTGTATTTTGAAATAGTTGGGGAAAACAACAAAAGAAGCGTGAGATCTCATGACGTGTAATAATTTTATGAAACTCAAATTTCAGTTCCCGTAAAAAGTTTTATTGGAATACAACCACACTCATTCATTTATACCTGGCTTATAGCTGCCTTTACACAATCGCAGAACCGTGTTGGGGCAGGACCACGTGGCCTGCAAAGCCTGAAATATTTACTGTGTGGCTCTGTACAGAAGAAGTTTGCCAACCCTGGCCTACAGCCTGAGGGGAGAGAAAGACAACCCTATGGGCTAAGCAGAGACCCAAGTTTCAAGGTTCTATCTTGCATCGCACTGCAATCACATGGTCTCATTAGACTCTTCCAGTGGCCCTGGGTCATAGATGGGACAAGGGAGGAGATGAAGACACAGAGAAGTCACGTGATTTCCCCCAAGGTCTCCCTGCTGGCTAATAAGAGGCCAACTTCCATCTCTCCACCTCACTCTCACACTCTGTCGTCAATGTCATACTGTCTGCTGGTGGAGTTCATGCCCCAAATATTCTTTAGCCCCTCCTGTGTGTGGCAGGGGCTTTGTCAGGCACTAGGGATACAACGGTGAGAGGGGCATCCTTCGTGGACCAGACATCGCAGCAGGAAGGCAAGGCACAGGACACGGTGAGAGCAGAACTCAAAGTGACCTAATGTAGTCTGGGGGATCAGGAAGCACTTCTGGAATGAGGTGATAGTTCCATTAAGACCTGAAGGATCAGCAGAATTTAGCCCCTGGAGGTAGGAGGCAGGGAATACCAATGTGAAGACTAGGCGCAGAAAGGGATGTGGTGAGTTCAAGAAGCTGAAAGGCCAGAGTGGCGGGAATGACGTCGGCAGGGGGCTAGCGACAGGAGATCAGACTGAAGAAAACAGGGAGCAGCCAAGTGATGCAGCAAGTTGTAGGTCACATTAAAAATTGGGGGCTTGATCCTAAAATTGATAGGACAATATTACAAAATGCTATAGTTTGGGTTCCTCTGAAAGCAGAGCCTGAGGCAAGGACTCAGGTGCAGGTAGTTTACTTGGGAGGTGATTCCAGGAAGCCAGGGCGAGGAGCAGGGAAAATGGGAAGAGAGACATGGGAAACCCATTAAAGCGTATGTTACTGAGCTGATACCCAGGTGTACAACTGGGGCTCAGTCCTGTTGGGGGCCTTCTATTGGCCCGTGTGGAGAGTGCCCTGGTTGAGCGTCTCCCATGTGCTTTCTGGGGGGCGGGGTGCTGGTAGTGGGCATAGAACTATACACCACAGCACACTGAAGTCAGGAGGGACAAGGTGATGAGAGGGCAGCAGGGACACAGTGTTTGGTGCAAATGACTTTAGACAATTAGATTCATGTGTTTAAAGTAATCTCTTCATACTGGAATGGAGAGGGGTAGAATGGAAGCCAGGAACCCTACAGAGGAGATTATTCTCATGGTAGAGGTGGTAAATGATAATGGGTTGAATGGGAGGTTAGCAGGGAGAATACAGAGAAGTAGGTGGATCAGACAAATATATAGTAGTTGGAATCTACGGGTCTAGGTGGCCAACGCTGGGCATACAGAGGGAGGTCAGGAGGATGTGCAGGTTCTGGAGGGATGGTAGTGTCATTCATAAGATAGGGAACACTGAAGGAAAAACAGGTTTGGGGCAAGAGAGGGAAAATGTTGGATAAAAGCTCAGTTTGGGATATAATGAGTCTGAAGTGTCTACAGGGCAACCAAATGGAGATGTTGAGAAAGTGACTGGATATAGATGGGTATAGAAGGGAGGCCCTAAATTGGTCCCTGAAAACTCCCACCTCCTGGTGTTCAGAGCCTGGGATAACACCTCTCCTTCAATGACTCGCTTCTAACCAGTGGAATACAGCAATGTGAGAGGAGGTCACTTCTGGGATTAGTTTACAAAAGCAAAAAGATGTGACTTCCACCTTGGTAGAAGCCTCTCTCATGGCCTTCATGGTCCCCACATCTTGAAGCAAGGCGCCATGTTGTGAGCTGCTCTTTGGAGAGGCCCACATGGCAAAGGACTAAGGACAGCTTCTAGCCAACAGCCAGGAGGGACCTGAGGCCCTCAGTGCAACCACAAGGGAGGTATGGAATGCTGCCCCCAATCACGTGAGTGAGCCCGGAAGTGGATCCTTTCCCAGTCCAGCCTTGAACGAAGACCCCAGCACTGGCCAACACCTTGACTGCAGCCTCATGAGAGACCCTAAAGTAAAGAACTCACTTAAACCATGCCCAGACTCCTGACTCACAGAGATAATAAATGTGTGTAGTTTTAAACCACGAATTCTTGGGGTAAATGGTTACGTGGTAACAGATAACTAACATAGTGGACTCAGACTGCAAAGGGCAAGTGGAGTGGGGAGATGAAGACAGTGGTCCCCAGACCACCACATGTGTAAATGATCCAAATTAAGTCACTTAACTTCTCCGAGTTTCAGTTTCCTTTCCAATAAAATGTTTCTAAACCTGCTCGTTACTATGTCACAATAGGATAAGACACCTTGAAAACGTACTAGTGCAATAAACAAATCTAAAGTAGGAATGTGTTTAAGACCTCTGCCATGAACATTCCAGAGCCAACAGTCACCTAGCCCGCAAAAATCAATGTCTAAGTCTTTCCTCCATGCCTCCCACCCACCCCCCTTCAGAAATTTTTCAGTGATGAGACATGCAGAGGGTAGAGTTAAAACGATGTTGACAATGTGTAGTTGAGGATGAACTGATGTGAGTGAAGAATAAAACTTACTTTTTAATGGCAATCAGTTCCCCAGACTCAATGCTTCGTCCCAGTAGGACGGAACCATAGGTTCCATCCCCGAGTTGCTTGATCGTAGTGTATCTATTCATGGTGTGCCCGCTCAGGCCGGACACTCATCTCAGGGCCGAGGTGGTGTAGTCCTGCAGAGGCGGCAGGCCTCCCCGGAGTGTAACCAGATTTTTCGATGGCAGCACCAGCACAAGGTATTCAATAGAACGTGACTATCTCCCAAATACATATTTTCAAAGATCAGTCTTCTGCCTGTAGAGAAAAATGAGAGACAAGGGTAACTGCTAATGTGCATTTTAAGTTTGTGTATTTTTATTGTCTAAATCAGCAGTCAGCAAACGAAAACCAACCTCCCCCCTCCCACCTGCCACCTGTTGTTATAAAGTTTTATTGGAACTGTCATGGCCACTCATTTGCATATTGTCTACAGATGCTTTCACACACAAGAGCAGAATTCAGTAGTTGTGACAGACTATATGGCTTACAAAATCTAAAATATTTATGATCCGGATCTTTATGGAAGAAGTTTACCAACCTCTGGCCTAAATAATGCTCTTTTAAATTTTCATAAGATGAGAGATACCATTCTTGGAAAGTGAATTTGCCACTGACTCAGAAATGGATCAGTTGCAATCCAATGCTTTTCTGCTGACCAGCCACTGTGGGCAAACATTGCATGAAAACTAAGGTCGACAAAACTGCTGAGCTACAAAAATCTGTACTAAATATACTGTATTCTGTGTAATTCTGCTATGATTTACAATGTAACAAAACCAAGAAATGTTAAAATTAAAGTTCTCCCGATACAGAGTTTACATGTGCCAAACGAACTATTTGTGGGTAGGCATCAACAGTATTATTTTTACTACTAGACATACAGAAGCGAAACAAAGAAAAACTAATTTCTTTTTTTACTTATTTTTTTTTAAAAGATTTTATTTATTTTTCGACAGAGAGACTGACAGTGAGAGAGGGAACACAAGCAGGGGGAGTGGGAGAGGGAGAAGCAGGCTTCCTGCGGAGCAGGGAGCCCGACTCGGGGCTCAATCCCAAGACCCTGGGATCATGACCCGAGCAGAAGGCAGACGCTTAACGACTGAGCCACCCAGGCGCCCAGAACAACTAATTTCTTAAGGTCTGCATGTAGGGTGTGCCCTTTTAAAAGTCATTCAGTTGTGTTTTCTTTAATAACAAATCATTGGTTTTGCAATTTATAAAATTAAGTCATTCAATCTGCCTATAATAAAGAAAATGTAGTAATAACTTAAGTGATTGTAATGCTTTTATGTAAACATTAATAAAATATAAATGCTAAAATAAAAATAAAAGTTGTTTGTTTTTTTAAAATGTAAGCTCTATGCCCAACATGGACTTGAACTCACGACCCTGACACCAAGAGTTGTCACATGCTCTACCAAATGAGCCAGCCAGGCACCCTGAGGGAAATATGGCTGTCAAACTAATTATGTGAAAAATCAAAAGATCAGAAAATACTGATTAGAAGTATGTGACATTCTGCAACTAAATCCAGTCCATGCAGCTTCTCTTTCCAAAAGAATTCCAATCAATAAATGTAGAAGGAAAGAGGGAAATAAAAGATCCACTGTTAGGCAAATACCACAGTAAGATTTGTTCCAGACAACAGTCACTGATGGATGCATATATGAGTGGATGAAAGGTTGAGGAGAAACAGGATATTTACATAGTTTCGAAGTATCTCTAAGATACTTATTAACTTCAAAGGGAAAGATGGTAACTCTATAGAGAAAAATCCAGCAGAAACTTCCTTACCCAAGTGATCAAATTCAATGTCACCATTAATAACACTTATGACATCATGAACTTGGATATGATGCTCTGAGAAGGGCACATCCCTTCTGTGGTATTCTTATCAAAAATGCAGATTTTTGATTAATCATAAGAAAACCTCAGACTAACCCAAAATGAGGGACATTCTACAAACAACCAATAGTCTCCAATAGTGTCAAGATCATAATAGGCAAGGACAGGCTTAGGAACTGTCACCGATTGGAGGCAATTAAAGAGACAGCTAAGTGCAATGTGGGATCCTGAATAGGACCCTGGAACAGAAAAAAGACATTAGTGGAAAAGTTGGTGAAATCTGAATCAGGTCTATAGTTTAGTTAATAGCACTGTACCAGTGCTAATTTCCCAGTTTTTGTTATAGAACTTGTTAATATTAGGGGAAGCTGGGTGAAGGATTTCTAGGAATTCTCTGTACAGGTTTCTGTAACTCTTCTGGAAGCCTAAAATTAGTTTGGAATTAAAAATTAAATCCAGGCGGGGTGCCTGGGTGGATCAGTCGGTTAAGCGTCTGCCTTTGGCTCAGGTCATGATCCCAGGGTCCTGGGATCAAGCCCCGCATCGGGCTCCCTCCTCAGCGGGAAGCCTGCTTCTTCCTCTCCCTCTCCTCCTGCTTGTGTTCCCTCTCTCGCTCTCTCTCTGTCTCTGTCAAATAAATAAATGAAATCTTTAAAAAATAAATAAATAAATCCACGGGCACCTGGCTGGCTCACTCAATAGAGCATGTGACTCTTGATCTCAGAGTTCTAAGTTCGAGCCCTACATTGGGGGTAGAGATTACTTAAAAAAATTTTTTTTAAGTAAAATCTTAAAAAAATAAATCCAGTCATAATCTACTAAATGGGAGAAGATATTTGCAAATGATGTATCTGATAAGGGGTTAATAGCCAATATATACAAGAACGTACAAAACTCAATACTAAAGAAACTAAAAATGGGCAGAGGACCTGAATAGACATTCTTCTAAAGAAGATATACAGATGGCCAACAGACACATGAAAAGATGCTCAACATCTCTCATCATCAGGGAAATGTAAATCAAAACCACCACCAAGATATCACCTCACACCTTTCAGAATGGCTAACATAAAAAATGCAAGAAACAACAAGTGTTGGTGAAGATTTGGAGAAAAAGGAATACTCATGCACTGTTGGTGGGAATGCAAACTGGTGAAGCCACTGTGGAAAACAGCATGGAGGTTCCTCAAAAAATTAAAAATAGAATTACTATCTGATCCAGTAATTGTACTACTGGGTATTTATCCAAAGAAAACAAAAACACAAATTCAAAAAAATATATGCACCCTTATGTTTATTGCAGCATTATTTAGAATAGCCAATATATGGAAGCAGCCCAAGGGTCTGTTGATAGAAGGATGGATAAAGATGTGCTATATATACACAATGGAATATTACTCAGCTATCAAAAAGAATGAAATCTTGCCATTTGCAACAACATGGCTGGACCCAGAGAGTATAACGCTAAGTAAAAGAAGTCAGTCAGAGAAAGACAAATACCATGATTTCACTCATACATGGAATTTAAGAAACAAAACAAAACGAGACCAAAAACCAGACTCTTAAATATAAAGAACTGTGGTTGCCAGAGGGGAGGTGGGGTGGGGGGGGGATGGGTGAAAAAGATCCAGTCTGTTCTTGCGAAGGTTGTGTGGGTCTTTGGGAAACTTTAAATGTAAAGTTTATGTCTGCTTTCACCACACTCTATCATATAACTGGAGAGCTTTCAGAGATCAAATTTCCCCCAACCCAAACTCATTCCCCTCCCCCAGAGCTATTTTAAGGCCCCTGATTAAAGGAGCATTTTCCTTCCTCTTGAAGGATGACGGGATCAAACACCCTGCAACTTCCTACAGCAGCTCTTTACAGTGTTATATCCCACTGATGATTAATAAATACTTAAAAAGCATCTCCTATGCGACAGACCCTATGTTCAACCCTGAGGATACAAAGAATATAAAATATTGTTCCTTTTTTCGGAGATCTTAGAGTCTCATGGCAGGGGGATGAGGGTGGTAGGTGGGCCCAGATATGTACTCATGAACATGCACTAAGATATATCAAGTATGCTTAGGTTTCAGGTACAGGACGTGGGAGAGGTTAAAGAGAAAGCCCCCTGGCTTCCAGCTGGGTCAGTTCCATCTGGGCTGAGGATGGGCATAAGCAAAATCTTCACAAAAGATGGAGCTTGAGAGAACAAGAAAAGTAGGTGTTTTGTAAGCGAAGATGTTCTAGCAGACCAAGGAGCAGAAACAAAGGCACAGGGGCTTCAACCTGGGAGGGAGGGAAAGGTGGGGAGCTTGGAACTGGAGAGAGAGAAAACCCCAGAGTTTTGTTTGTGGAGGGCCCCACAAGCCATTTTGAAAAACGTAGGCTTCGACTGAATCCTGTACGAAAGGAGACAAAAGTGCTACAAAGGACATCATTGGGCCAATGGATAGGATTGGAATATAGATGGTAGATTAGGTAAAAGTATTGCATCTGTATTACATTTACTGAAGTTGGTATCTGTCTTGTGGTTCTGTAAGGCACAGTCTTATTTTTAGAAAATACACCCTGAAGGATTTATAAGAAAAGGACCATAATGTATGCAATTTATTCTCAACTGGGTAGAACAAAAATATAGTGTGTGTGTGGGGGGGGGAATGGTGTGAGTGTAGACAGAGAGGGAACAAATGGGGTAAAATGTTAACAATAGGTAAGTTTGGGTAAAGGTATATGGGTATTCTTTGTACTATTCTTGCAAGTTTTCTGTATGTTTGAAATTATTCTACATTAGAAGTTTAAGAAGTTCTCCCCAAAATGGTAGAGGAAGGGAATCTTTAAAAAGATAACATGTCGTTGGGGCACCTGGGTGGCTCAGTCATTAAGCGTCTGCCTTCAGCTCAGGTCATGATCCCAGGGTCCTGGGATCGAGCCCCACATCGGGCTCTCCCTCTCCCACTCCCCCTGCTTGTGTTCCTTCTCTCGCTGTCTCTCTCTGTCAAGTAAATAAAAAATTTAAAAAAAAAAGACTTTTTTTTTTTCAACTTTTGCACTGGGAACAAGTAGTAACTCTTCCACAAGACTGAAAGAATATTTCCCACTGGTTGTCTGCATGTTAAAGATGGTCCTCTTGTCATTGGCTTTTTTTAATTTAAAAAGACTGGCAAATATGCCTGAACTAATTTGCATAA